TGAGGCTTCTTCTCAGCTTTTCCCATGTATTGCTTGTTGTCTGCCAGTGAGTAGTGAGTGATACACTCTCATCTCCCGATTTGTATATGATGAGGTTAAGTGGCCTCGTGCAAACATTGCTCATTCGATAATATGTGACTCCAGACTACTCCAATCAAGATCATCAAACTTCTGTATCGGATACTTTGGTATTTTTACAAGTTATTTCATCATGCCATCTACTAAATTACTCGGGATCACTCATTATCATTCTTGATCACTTTTTATCAAAACTTCTTCCGCAGCAAGTATCTCAAATACGTTAGCGTGCAGAACTCAAGATCAAGACATAAATAGTACTATACCCACTTATAACCGAAGCTATAAATATAACTTTCATCAATTACTTCGAAGTACTACTTCTCGAGTATGCACTAGGATTACTGAGCTATGATACTTGCTAGTACCATTTACTGCAAGAGTTACTGTCGTCCTCAGGTTTTGTAATCTGGTGCATGCAGTAGAATTCCTTTGCACTGTCGTAGTTTCAAACTCTGTCTTTGGGATCTTCACAGAGTAAATACTTTGTTTGCTCGAATTTGGATTAAAGACGATGATAATCCGTTTACGACGGTGGCTTCTCTCTAAACGTCGCCTATTTGTACTGTTCTCAGTCTGTCATCCAGGCAGCAGTCCATCCTTCGCTATTCCTCCGTTGGCCTCTTTAGGAGGCTATTTTTATGTGTAATTTGAGATACTCTGAGCAGATCTCTAGTCATGGTTTCCAGTCTAATTACCAGTTTCGAGCCTATGATTACTGTGAAAAAAGGTCGAGCGCACATCTCTCTTCTCCCCACTTCAACAGCTTCGCTCAAGTACCATTTTGTAAGTGGTGGTAATCGAGATGTCAGTTTTCCATCTGCTAATTATCACCTACTCGCGCAATTGCCTTTTTCATCCTTATCCCATCATGGACCAAGGGTCAAATCTTCGAAGTAAGAACAGTAAATTTAGATGTATCGCCTCCTTTAGCCGACTACTTTACTGGTTATCTTATAACCGACTATTAGCTAAAGTAATTTGTACAGGTGCATACCACCTGCTTCGTTTCCATCTAGGAATCGCGGGCTCGTCGCTCATTTTGGAATCCCGGACAGCCAGGTTTTTTTTCTTGCGGTCGGCTTTGAATTGATTTCTCGTTCTTCGCATTTCTTTTCGTTTTTACGAGCCGTCTTCTCTTTTCTGGTAGCTACCACGAAAATTGATAGCGAGTAAGTGGAAGAAGGGTGGATAAGCAGTAAGCGTAGCGGGACAGAAGAAGCCACCGAGGCGAGGCAGCAGCATTGGCTGTGGCTGTGGCGGCGGCGGTGAGCAGCAGCAGTTGAAATACGATACGGGCGCACCGGCAAGGGATTAGTGGACAAGCTGCGTTTACTAACACAACACAAAACATGCACTCAAAAACATGAGTTGATAGACAGTGATTAGGTCCGGCCCCAGATTTACTCAGACGTCACTCAAAAACTACTCTGCGCACCTCTTACCAGTAATCACTGGCCGAGAAATTAAAAAAGTAGGTTTCATGGCTTCTTCCCACATGAGACTCCCCAATTCCTATTAAATACTAGTTACTGAAAGATTGCAGTTATGGGAGAATTCATGTTTTACTATTTGATGCTGCAGTACCCCGCCTCCACCCCCTTCCTGTGGCCTTCCTCACTAATGAGGCGGGGACCCTGCGCCCTCTCGCGCAACCTCTCCTCCCATTCTTGCTATCCTTGTCGAAAAAACGCTCTCCAAAAGCTGTATGATGTTTCAGTAACTCTATTTTTTCTACTCACTAGTAATTTGTTTTATTTGATTTCTTATTTATTAATCGTCGTCTCAAGGTGTTGGTGTTGATGTGATTGCGGCCAATTGGTGATATGTCATCAATCAGAATGGGCTGCCTAGGCAATACATCTTAGATCGGACGTCGTTATTGTCACTCTCTCCGGATGCTAACTAAGCTTTTCGACACCTCGTAGCCTATTTTGTAAGTAAATATTACTCTGAGCGTATATCCTATAAACTACTGCATCTCCCGGGGCTTAATCGACTTCATCCACTTCAGCCAAGTCCCTCGTGTCTGCACTTTGCACCTTCATGTCCATCCCTATAGGGCGTTTATCGCTTGTAAATTTCCCTTCTTAGAATGCACTATATCCTTGAAAAAAATGTAATTTACTTTACAATAACTTTACTTATTTAATATGATTAGTATTCCACATACATAACACGACTTGCTTCTTCCCCCCAAATGACATATCGTCGTCTGAACGCGACAACTGACTGCCGCACATGCTCAACGCCGCCAATTTTACCCGCTATTGACTTGTGCTCAGCACGGTCCCATGGCAAATCACAGTTTTCAGCTGTTTCCATGTCTTTGTACGTATTTTTATCCACCTTTTGTGCTTCACTGAGCCTCAACATCATCCTCCCACTCATTCTCCTCCTCCTCTTTTTCACTCAGTGTCATAGCGCGTTTTTTCTTGTTCGATGTGAGACTTTTTGCTCGTTCAGCATGGAAAGTCTTGTCTCGCGGCCATGGGGGGCTCTCGCGCTGGCGCCTCTCAACGAAACGCCGCCGCCTCGTCGTCGTACCTGAATTGCGTTTGGCAGGGGCAATAATCGGGTCCCCGGCTACTGCCTCAAATCACGCACAAGTACATGCCCGTTGTGTGAGGTGGGGTTCAATTGGCTTGACGCCAACAGAAAATTTCCTTGTCCTATACACTCATTAAATTCCCTCGTAACGATTATCCTTTCCATTCAAAGTCTAGGGTGTGGCTACCAGAGTTCTGCCCTATTTTTGAGCTTTTTGAATTGTTTCTATTCGCCTTTACTTACTTTCCAAAGAGTTTCTAAGCAGTTCCAGCTTGTCAATCCACTTCCAAAGCTCCCACGCTGAGCTTTGAATTCATTCGAGCGCAATAGTTATTCATTTGAGTCATTCTATGCCATGCATTGAATGAAAATAGCCCCCACCCTTCTAGGGGGCGACACTGTGTGAGGTCGATGATGTGCACACGACGCTGTCCTCAGAGTGCTTGTGCCCTCCCTGAACGCCCCTATTCGCACTTCCGTCCCGGTTTTATACACTATTTAAATTCATTACTGTGTTTCAATTCATTCATTGAATACACTTCACCTCCCCAGGGCTTTTCATATTCACATGCCCTATCCCTACACTCTGCCTCTCTTTGGCAGGTAGATATTGATCCCCACACATTCACGAAGAAGAAGGAGGCCCATCTCTAGCCATCTAGGGGGAGTAACTCGGCAAAAATTCACGTATTCGAGAGATCGTCATTAGCGAATCCAATCGGGGCACTTAGTCAGCCGGAACGAGAGTGTGAGAAGAGCACATGCTGCTGACCAAAGCAACTCATCGTCGTATATCATCATAAAATCTTCTTACTCGCCCCCTTATCTTCAAGGGGCACACGACGCCTCTTTGTTATGGCCACGCACACGCTTTTCGTTCGTTTTTCTTTTTCATCTTTTGATGTATTGACGAGTGTTTTGGCCTAAGATGGATATCTTCTTCGGCGGCTGGCTGGGTCGGGCCAAAAAAACTACACAACAATCCCTCTTTGTTGTGGTCTTTTCTTCAACTTCGAAGCGTTTTTTTCTTCTGAAAAACGGAAATTCCCCTGAAATTTGTCGTATTCGGTAGATCTCATGATGATGATGAGCATATCTCAATATCCGTTGTCAAACATTGCAGGCTCTTCAAACATTGATGGTTTCACCGATGCGCTACATCGTTTGCATTGTGGCCGTGCTCGCTCAACTCACTTTAGCACAGGAGTCAACGGTATGTGGACCTCCTACTGGGATGCTATAACTGCTATGAAGTTGTTTAAAAGATATCCAAAGTGTTACACGGAGAAGGGGCGGGGTAAAATTTGTTGGACGAGTTTTTTTCGCTGTTAACATAACACCAATACACCGCCTATGAAATGAGCCTCGCTATGCTCACACTCTGATATCGGACCATTTCAATAAACTGGTCTTATTTGGTCACCTAGAGCCATTGAGATTATGTAAAAGTGCAAGTATGACTTCAGTTTTACTTGGGTAACTTTATTTCTATAGTACTTTGGTATTTGTTTTGGTTTACTTACCTTGTTTTAGTTACCTGTTAGATGAATCGCTGGTCTTTCCCTAATTGAACAGACTAAAAGGTCTTTTTTTTAGAGTCAGCGAGTTTGGAAAACAGCCAAGTAAGACAGTGTTTTCTCCACCAAAAAACCTCTGCTCCTGCTTTTTGCTTCTGAGTATCGCCCCTTTCTACTTTATTGCAAGCAACCGCTCAGTGAGGACGCTTTACTGGTGTAGAACTTGTTACCAGTTTCCGAGCTGAAAATTCCTGTTTCAATCCGGAAAACAATGACAATTCCCGAGCTCAAGTTCCATTTTTTTCGAACTATTTACTTTCCTTTATCCTTAGATAGAAATTCCTCGGCTCTGGCCCAAACTTATTTGAGAGACACTCTTTAGTCCATAGGATGTTTTACCTCACTTATGGGGCACCTGCATGTTGGATAAGACGCCTAATAGAGTGGCTCTTAAGAGCACCTTGAATTGTTAGGCAGATTGGGTACTCTGTTCGACAATCTCGACAGCTCCTGTAGGATGGGACCGAAATTATGGCCCATTATTTTTGTACGACCATAATTTTTTAATGGCTGGCCATTTTTTCCAGTATTAGACAGTTGAATGGTGTATTCTGCTGGTTTCCTACCAGGAAGTCTATACACGTTGACATAGAATCCGGTCCGTAGGTGAAGTGTTATCTTTGGCCAACTCACACCTTTTTTCGAATAATTCATCTGGGCCGCTTTTCGGTCTGTGTGAAACCTAAGCCTAATTGCCAGCCGAAAGCCACTGAGCGGCGCATTGGCATATGCAAACAAAACGTGTTGCCTCGTCACCAACGAAAAAAAAAATGAAAGAACCCAAAAAAGAAATGGGAAAACATCGTTTTTCTTGAGGCTTCCTTGTCTCCTGGCATCAATCTACGGCGGCTCACAGTGTCCACACACGAAATTAGCTTCGTTTTCAGCTCCGAAAAAATGCTAATTGGACAGAAATAGGCGATGGGATCCCCGAAAACTCTGAAAAAGCTAACAAAGATCGGGCCTGGAGATATTTCCCGTTTCATTTTCAGTGTAACTATGTTGGATTAGTGAAGTGCTTCATCAACATTCTTGATGAATGGGCGTGGACATTGTACGAATTAAAGGATAACGTTGTCACGATAACCTCTGATCAATGCACACACCTACGGGAACTTGATAAATGTATCAAGGTAAGTTACTAGTTATATCTTTTGTTTGTTTAATTCGAAGATTCCTTTTCGTTTGTTTACTTTCCCATATATTTCTTTTAAATACCTTGAGCTATTGGTGCTCAAACAGTAATCCTTCGAGCCTTTACGCAGTATGGGGCCTATGTGAAGCCCATGAAGCCCTTTCTAGAGCTATGGAGCCTTAATCTTGCTTTTCGTAGTTTGTTTGTGTGTCAAGCCGGGTCCGACAGGTCGGGTGACGACTGAGAACAGCTGTTCTTTCTTCATGTTTGTGGCTTCATAATGCAAGGGTGTCTCAAAAAAGCCTTCCGATCGGAGAACTTTCCCACTCCCACTCAATCTTGTGAACATTCAGACATGAGGTTTTCCTAACCGGGTTTTTTTCTTCGTGTAGGCCGATAGATGGAGGGGCCTTTGAACGGCCTAAATATGACCCTTTGGAGATTTGAATGATGTGGTGGAAATGAAATGTCGTGATGAACGTCTTCAAGCGAACCACCGACAACCGATTTGCATAACTAATGCGTTAAACAATCATCTGGGAGCGGTGACCGTAACCGACCGGCCGACTGTGAATTAGAAATAAGCAGATTAGGAGGGGGACTGCCCAAGAAATCATGCCGACAATATGTGGCTGTGTGTATGTGCATTTAAACCTATATGAACAGCTGCTAGACGTGGTCTTCACCGAAGATTACTGGGCCGGTGCGTGGATCGGGGAACCCGACATTAACCTTAGAGAGTCATTCTTCCTACTCCAACCTATAGGGACCTATAGGGGCTATTAGCGAACAGATGAGCACTTGAAGATGTCAGTTCACACGCTAGGATTGTCAAGCGCCATTATTCCACTTGAAAGCGAAGAGCTAAAGGAGTCGAGAGGTCGCGCACGCGAGAACTCGTCCGTCTGTCTTTATTGTGTACGTCTTCTAGCATTTAATAGAATTATTGGAGTGCAGATAATGATGCCGTTTCGATGTGGTGGTGGTTGCCATGACCCTGCCAGTCTCATTGTCGAATTAGCTGGCGTCGGGAATGAAACGAACCTCTACACAACATGGTTAGCACCATCTAATCAGCCTGGCGCTCCGTCGCCGGCTATGAACTCCTTAGGGTGGAAGGCACATTAACTCGGGGGCAACACATGCATTTGCCATCAGGGTCATGACCCTTATGTTCACATAGCCGTTTCCGCTAGATGACGTTAGCCATGGCACTCATTTTTATTGAGTGACAAGATTACAGTAATCCGGACTGAGACTGAGAGCTGGGCTGGGATCCGTCCCCATCCACATCTGGCCTGGCCTATTGTAGTTGAAGGGAACGACGATGAGTGACAAACAGAAAGTCGTCCTTCGTCAGTCTAACGACGACGACGCAGCTGCGATTTCAAGAGTGAGGATAAGCGTCTCGTCGTTGTGTACATACGTTGACAAACTATGACAACGATATCGGTCTCTCATCAACCCTCCTGACGAATGCGATATGATGAGGCCCGTCTATACGCTTGCGCGATTCACTTCAATGCCTTTTTATCGCCAAAGTCGTCGGCCGTCGTTGTCGTCCTCCTCACCTCACTCAGAGCTCACATCACCTCATGTATTCATACTCACTCAGCGATCGATTGGACGTTACTAGCAGCTTGCCATGGGGACCCTGCTTTGCTAAGTGGTGGTCGACAACACTTGCCAGTCGCATAAGTCACCTGAATATGAAAACCATGAAACGGGAAATACGTTCTTGCAAAGTTACGGCACAATAAACACTAACAAACGGCGCCCCTACCGAGTCGACCGATGGAATTTTACAAAAATCTGAGTTTTCTGAAAAAAAAANAAAAAAAAAGCTGTTATCAGGAACAGAGAGGTGCCACTTATCTTCTCAATCAGTATTACTTCGTAGTAATATGGGAACTTAGGTTTTTTAGCAAAAATTTTGCCAAGACATGTGACAAATCCTTCCTGGTTGGTTCACTGTTTCAAGTTTGGTGGTCGATGAACTAGATGGCTGACTTATTGTTTATTTATCATAACTAGAACTAGTTCAAATCCGGGATCCCAAAAACCGCTGGGTACTTTTTTATGTGGGTTAATGGAACATAATGGATGCTTTAGGGCAGTGATATAGAATAATTTGCCTCTCAATTGGTTTTCGAGAGTATGCTAAAAGAGCATCTCATAAAGTACGAACGAAGTAAGAGTGCACATCCATCTTGAAAAATCGAGTGCATTTGTCTGGAAGAATAATCGAAAAGGCTCCGCGTCTAGAGGAACTCTCTTCACTTCCAAAAACCAAGTGCAATTGAAGAAAGTTTCTGCACCATCGACAAAGTGGGGTGCGCAGCAGAGTCGTCGGTCGGTCAGGAGACAGGCCGGACGTCAAGAAGCTTCAGCATTTCGTCGGCTGTGGCGGCATCGGCTCTTCTTCATTCTTGCGCTTTACCCACGACGACTTGTCTCTTGATTCTCATCGGCCCAAATGGGATTCCATATGGCTAACGCGCGTGATGGCGTTTTGATTGCTATTTGAACGTCATTGTGAACCTCATGGGACAAGAAATGAGGACGACGAGCACGTGAGCGAAATGAACACCCCGGTCCAAATTGATTTACTTCGTTGTTACACCAGTTCACAAAAAACAACAATTGCCCTTTCAATGATCTGTCTGATCCCGGTTCGGTTACTTACTGAGATTGGTCTCATCGCTACTGATGTCGGGATTGGACGCTCCGAAATCCTATACAAATCGTGTTCCTTACGGCGAATTCGGCTCGATTCCGATTTGATTTCGTGCCAATGGAATGAATCGTAATTGTTTTTGAGGGACGAAGAATCAATGCAAAGTAGCCGCTATTGAAAATTGCTATGGCGCTGAAGCCAGCCGCTAAATACACCGACAAAAAGAACACAAACGACAACAAACGGGCAACACCATCCCGCATTATCCAAGCCTTATTGAGGGCCATTCAAAAAATGGTTGCCGCGAGCAGAGAACAGCTTTCAAAAAAGCGCGCGAAAAAAAGTCGCTAACCATAAAAGCCATTCCGGAGCATTACAAAATGTTAGAAAAACAATAAAAGAGCTAATCAACATTTCTTGGACGCTTACCGCTCGATGTCCGTTCATACTCGTCTAGACCTATCCTGTAACAAACTGCAACGACAAACCACGTACGACTACAGTTCACCTATTTCTGCCTTATCATTTCATCACCCGCGACAGCTCGTCCAATCCTGTTATTTGAGCGGGGACGGAAGGTTCGGCTGACTTAGGGGCATTAAGAACTGCGACGTGCTATCTATTATTGATGTTATACGGCTTATACAGGAATTTTTTCGTAATTTGAATTATCTTCGGCTACAAAGATTACCAGAGCCCACTCGGGGCCCTTTCGAAATGTTCCGAAGGTATCATAAGGACATTAGGTCCGCTTAAGTGGAAAACATTGTCGAAGCGACATCATGCTTGCGAAAATGTCCATAAGAAAGTCGCTACTGCCTGGAAAAATCAGTTAAGTACTGTTTCCATTTGTTCGGTTTCCTCAACCTGCAGAAGTCGCTTTTTTTGGGGTGCCAAGGATTTGTTTTGGCGGTCCATCTTGTTCGTTAATGGCTGTTTTTGATATGGGGAACCAAACAGTGAAGCCAATAATTACTAGTTCGATTGTAATTACAGCATATCGGTTTTGCTAGAGGGAAATATGGAATGAGGTTATGCGGGAGCGTTTGGGCGGTCCGCTTTGATGTGTCGTAATCGGCTAGCTACCTATTAAGGACCATTAAAGCAATAGCCCATGCGGAAGAATCGGTCACGCACGACGACTCCGCCTCTAGTTGACACCCCCTCGATGATGTTATTTGAAACAAAAAAAAAAGGTCCGAAGATTTGAGGTTCCGGATCCGCCCCACATCCCTTTTTTACGTGATTGTATGGTATCCAATATCGACAAAGCCGGCTGAATGGCAATCTTGCTTTTTGCAAATTCGAGATATGGTTTCTGTTTACTCAATTCGATGTATATACTAAGGTTGACATTGAAACACTAGAAAAACTCTATCGGACCTGACAGACATTTATGGCTTTACTGGTTAAAGCCGTTGTCTGATCGCACATCAAGAAATGAGTGACATTTGGTCCTTTCCGGACTCGTCGAGCGCTTAAAGGGACCAACCAATTCAGCGTCGTTAACTTTGGCTTCATTTACTAAGTTTACAGGTATAAGTACAAGTTTATCAAGTCATTTTACTAATGCTTATTATATGGAAGACTTTCTCGCATCAGGATGGGTTTGCTCCACGAATTTAGAGTCCTCAGAAACTGCCTCTGAGCCAACTGCCCTGGCTTTAATCTACTGACCTTTCTTGCGAGGATGTTAATGATGTTACAATGGACATTTACTTGATTCACCTCAAATTAAATTGTAAAGTATTTTTTATAATTATAAATTCGCGATTACTTTCACTAACGACAACTGTGCAATAATAATATAACCTTCAACAAAAAAATTCAACAAAAATGTAAGTTTTTCAGGATGATCTCGACGAACAGCATCAATGTTCGCATCGAGAAGTGATCGAAGTTTCGAATACCGTATCCGACTTATTGACTCATCGTAAAGATTCTGGATCATTCTTGAAGGTATACTGCCCTTTCTATCTTTTAAAACATGAAAGTATACGATTTCTTCAGAGCTACTATCTTCTCACCTATGCGTGTTCTGCCGAAGGACAAGAAATCCTTACCAAGCATAGAGATTGCCTTAAATCGGTCAGTTTACAGCATTCACCTGGACTTAATGTCACAGTTTTTACACAGCTAGGTGACCACTGTCACGTGACCACGGGGAACTTGTTGTAATGTAGTGACTTGTATCCGAAAGATGAGCTGTCATGTCAGACCTTTGAGGTTAGCCTGTCGGACAGGTGTATATGAGGTGTAATACGCTGTCCATCTGGGCATCTGACGGTATTGGTAAAGGTGCGGGACTATTGAGAAAAGAATGTATCCTCTCTAAGAAAAACTTTATTTATCCACTTTTTATGGCGACCGATGTAGGATGACATCATCAAACGATTTTCCAAAATGCCCTGAGTTTTCAAGTTTTTGCTTTTTAAACTTTACTTAAATGTAGGCATGACTCACTGAATCTGTTTTCACAGTAGAAATTCAATACTTCTCTTCTGATTCAGGAAAAAATCGGCGAGATGACATTGTCAGCTGGAACTTACCTAAGTGAAAAATTCCTCGAACATGACGATGATGAAGAAGCTTGCACAAATGTGAGTTCATGTCCTTTTCACGTTTCATGGCTTACATATACTTTTCCCCGAGTTAGAAGTAACGCACCCCCCTAAACAGTAATCCATTGTCACTTTTACATCCAAGAGTCTTAATCCAGAATCCGGTTCAGGGGCCTAATTACTTCTCATGGGTGGGTGAGGTCAAAGGGTTCATCCACAGCTTTTCATAAAATGTAACGGATAAAGTATCGGTATGGACCCCTTCCTCTGGCACGTACATACCACTCATTCTGTTCATAGGTTTAATTAGGCCTTACTATTTATTTATTGCTATCATAACCCCTTACGAAAAATAGTGATTGTAGGGCCTTTTCCTCTTGGATGTACCCCTTATTCTGTTCGGATTCAAATTCGTAGACGAGTATAGTTAGGTATCCGACCTACGCAGTGAATTGAGGGATCCTTCGATACCTTAATCTTTTAATGCCCTCCCAGTAATCGGTAGGACCACACCGAATGAAAAGAGTCCGAGGGCCAATTAGATGTGAACTGGATTTTGACTTGGGCTTACAAACGTGAAACAGTCCTGTAACAAACTTGTCGGTTACGGGCGTACTAGTACACAATCACTTAATTTGAGGTTGTATCCTACAAGATACATTATAGAGTTCCTTTCATTACAGTTGAACCTGAAACTCCAAGAATACATTCGAGCAATGAGTAATCTGTGCAGTAAACATGAAGCTGCTCAGCTTATGTGTAAATCCCTCACCAACATGTTTAAAGTGAGTTCTTTCTTTTCTATCCTTTCATACTGTTTATTACTTTTCAGTAAACAAAGTTTTTCCTTTTCCTTTTCCGGGATTTTCCTGATTTCCATTACGGCGGTGCTTTCTCTTTCGCTTTGCCCATTTTCGAAATGTCACTTTCCAAGTGTTGACCATAAAAAGCCCGTTATTTGAGCTTCATTTCTCTTGTAGTCAAGTTACACTAAGTATAACATCCTTGCTTTCTGAGTCCTCGGAAAAGAAACTTGTCCAGTTGAATAGCTAATCTTTTTCTTCTGCATCGAGCTTCGTTAGGATTGATGTATGTTAGTCCTCACTAGCAAAAAGGCCTACTGCGTCATTCTCATATACTGGCTGCTCCGCTCCAATATGCAAGAATGGAACGAAAAAAAGGCCAGAGTTTCAAAAATCGTTCTATCATTTAAAGAAGAGTGTCTGTAACAGCAACAGTTCCAATTCTGGTAATACTTTTTTTGCGAAAAAAATACAAAATATATAGGTCTGGTTGGTATGATAATGATTGGTGGCCTTAATTGAACGAAAGGACTTTAGCAAGAGTAGCTAAATTGAAGCTTAAGCCATTGTCTAAGGAGATTTGCATCAGGGAAACGAACATGAAGAACGGGTACCGCTCAGATCAATGTCCATGAACTCATTGGACCAGACACATGCTGCTGAAACACCTGTTACCTTTTTCTGGGACCAGAAGAAGGAAGCCTTTTTCCACCAAGACCGAACATCTGTCCACGTGTTTCAGTTCATAGATTAACGATCAAGAGAGCGGAATGTAGAAGCAGTGGACTGAAAAGCTTGCATCTCTCACAGTAACCTTTTTTAGAGCAAAGTGGGAATTGGGCCCGAGATAAACACGGTCAGGAGCAGACCTTATTCAACCTTGCCGACCTTAGAAGACCGTTTGATCTGCGTTCGCTGTAGAATCTGGTTAGATTACTAAGCTACATTTCTGGAATCATCCCGGTCCTGGAGCCGCTACTAACTCTTATAGAGCTATCACTGACTGTTCACAGGACAAAAATACTTCCTTTCTGAAAAGCGTCTATAATGGTTAAGGAGGAGGTGAATTGCCTGTTTCCCCTATCTCAATGCGAGCGAGAACAGTTCTGGACCATAATATTCGGAAATTTTATATAATTCAGTACTAACATTCATTGTTTGAATTTCAGCACTATCTGAACCTCGTAGATCACTTGTGAAACCTTTTCGAGGTGCTCTATTCCACTGAAATAATATGATTTCCATACGAAAAGACTAGTGCAGTAGACCGTTGATCAGCTCATTCTGAGAATCGAATAGTTCCAGAACGTTCCATCCGCAATCGCTGAAGGGCATCGATTTGGCTTCTTTCAATATAATTTTTTATGTCGAGTTGGCAAAGAGTAGAATTAGCTGATTACTTCCATTTCGAATTGAGTCTGTTGCGGCTTCGATAACAAATTTGTGTCACACGTTGTATAGAGGGTTCAGGTGGGGTTACTTGTCGAGGTACAAGCAGCCTTGCAGACCTGAGGAGGTAAAAGGTCCCGGTGTAAACTCATAGCCGATTGAATAATCGCTAAAACAGAGAAGTTCTGCCACAAATAAGTAATTCAGCGATAATTACATGTTATTCCTCCATAATAAACATAACCACTGATAAGCTGTTGACATAAGGGTAATTGGAGACTGGACTGCTGCTTGTAATGATTTCTAAAAATAGTTTTTGTCTCTCGAAAGCAAATTGAAATGCTCCCGTAAATGTTCTTTAGGGGTCTATTTTTATATATTATGTTCCATTGTGGGCTATCAAAAAAGGTCTCAATATATGATGAAAACCATAAACTCAAGAAAAGCTAGTACAGTCGTCTCAAGCATAATGTCAAAAGACTTGTTTTTTTCATTTATGTTCCATAAAAATCCTCTTTTGAGCAGCAATCTCACTTCTTGAGATGACAATAGCTTACTCAAACCTATTTGGCTTTTCGAAGATTGAAAATTCCGATAAAGGGGTATTTTGAACTATAATGATAATAAATAATTACTTGGTGTATTTCAGGGATTACATGTTGATAAACTCGACAAATGTGTTTTGGACTGCAAGATTCCAGAAGAGGAAACGGAGGAAGAAAATAAGGTATGACGTCGCCTTTTTTCAAATGAAATCGCTTTTCCGTTGGTACTATCGCTGAATTGCTTTCATGCCCAAAACAATCGTCCTTTACAACCCAATACTCATCAAAAGTATTATACTTTATCGCTAAAGTACAACTAATATCGATAGTACCCCTCTCCAGAAAACGTGCCCCTTTAGGTCACTGGTAGAATGCAAATCGTTAAGCAGTGAAATGTCGCAGTCATAAGTTAATATTCATAGTAGTATAGTTTAGAGACTATACTGTTATGTACTTTCCTACTACCACTTCAGGTCTGAACAAAAAACAATGTGAAATTCAAAAGCTCAGAATATTAGTTTGTGATAAGTGCAGTTAAAAAAGTATCTGGGCTGTAATTGGTGACATTAAGCTCTGAAAATACATAAATATACTTACTTATTACTATTATTACTTACTACTTACTCCACATGGGATACGAGCGAGTTCACTTTGTCATGCCAAATACTTGCCTCACAGTAGAAGGTTCTGTTAATCTCAGGCGTACTTCGTTAGAGTAGCTGCAGAGGTATCAGATGGAATTTTACGATTCTCTGCTTGAGGATCGTACTTCCCTTGAAAACCAAAAGTTCTCCTTGAATTTGTTTATTGTAAATTTTTTAGTTACAGTTTTCTAATAACTATATTCTCAGACTAGTCTTTAGGTCGAATCATCCGAAGTGGAAACAGTTCAAAGTGAACCAGATGCACTTGGACCAGCAGCAGACCAGTCGGCATCAGCAGCTGCGTTAGGCTTATTTGTTCCGATTATCGCAATACTTATGCGATAAGTAATGTAGATATTGTAGAGCTAATAATTAATAAGTACAAATTAATACAGTGTTTAATCGTCGTCATTCCAAAAAAGTAGGTTTTTTTTCTCTCTTAATATGAATGGCGCGATAATTTCACTACAACAAATATTATTCATTGTTGACTCTGATCAATTGAAATGTCACACACGTACATAATGAGCATGTGGTTAAAAACAACAGCAAAAACAGCTCAGGGAATTTCTCATAAAATCGGCCGTCGCTAAGGTGACAGCCAGCAGCCTTCCTCTCCTGTATCAGTGACATAATAATTGTAATGAGCCAAAGCCGCCGTAGTTGGAGCTTACACATTGTACGGATACCATNGAAACCGATGACCGATTTAGTACTCTAGTCTGGAAACAAAGAAAAAAAAAACGATAAAATGACGTTGCTCCCGCCATAATAACTGCCCATTGTTTTCATTTCCATTTGTGATAGAAATTTTCTTTGTTGTATTCCATGGAATCAAAGGTAAGGGTCGCACTGATGCTGTGATTGGAGGGCGTCCCGTTAGGTTCCGAGAGGTCAGCCAATGAGAGAAGTCCGCTGTGCCTAGCGCGTCTCTCATTGGCTAGCTGCAAAACCGCGCCAACTCCTTTATATTCAGTGCAACCTTTGCCTTTAAAATGACGTGTCATAGTAGAACGATACGTTCATGCATTGTATTCATATATCATTATGGTAAGTACACTCCTTTTCAAAATCAAATATAAGGCTAAACGTGTACCAAAGAGTAATTTTCGTGAATGCGCCCTTTTTCCATGATTTGGTTGAGCCATGCCAGTGAAAGGGAGTGTAAATAGCATGAAGAAGAGCGTCGGTAGTATAGTAGTCAAGTTTTATTGGTCAATTTAGCACTAGAAACTACCCTCTGATTTCGATTTCTTGTATTTATGCTCAGAATGGCCAGATTAACTCTGTCGACTCCTCATCCTGCTTTTTGTACGAAATGTCAAAAGCCAATAATGCGAAAGACTGTGTAATAGATGTTGTAGAATGGAAAATAAGAGTTCCATGTTATCCATTCACTTGCTGTGAGTGATGTTTTTTTTTTCATCTTCGCTTTGGTTGTGTTATAGAATATCGTCTTTTCATGTTGCTAATATGTATTATTGATTTGTTATATATGAAGAATAAATCACTTACTCCCGTAGATGATGAGTTGAGCAAGGACCACTTTAAAATTTAAGCATGTGTAAGGCCCACCCCAAAATTCATCCGAGCCTATTACATACTGCTAGAGCTAGATGTTATCCTTTACCGGTGTCGAAGACTTTGCTATATCTCGAAAAAATCTGATACTTAAGTCACTTACTCCCTTAGGTGATGAGCTAAGCAAGAACCACCCTAAAATCCAAGCATGAACAAGGACCACCCTAGAACTCATCTGAGTCTGTTGCACAGTGCTAGAGCTCGATGCCTCCCTTGCCAGTATCAGTCCATGCTATATCTCGAGAAAAAATCTGATATTTACAATTATCGGGCAGTTATACTGTTCAAAGTAGATGGATGAGTCTCTACTGTCTTAAGAGATTTGTTCAAGTAGGACGCGCTTGAAGTTTGAGTTGTTTTTTGTCAGTCGCACTCAAACTCTAATAATATACTTTCTGAAATAGGCGGTGACAATAATCTCATGAGCCGCAAGAATTATAATGAGATAATGCCCTAAACCACGTTTTTACTCTTTACTCAATGGTGAAAATGTTTGAAACAGTAGGTTCATGAATTTTGTCCAAACATTGCATCGAAAGAGAATACCAGAATCAGGTTTACCGCTCATGCTGAAAAATGGTTCTGTACTGGAGCCCAGAGAAGCAGAAGCCACCGAAGACTTGGAAAAAGTTTAATTTGAAAATATATGTAGTAGAAGCCGACCAAGTATTATATCAGCTGACTGGGACGCTTTGGTAGAAAATTGAAAATTAATCGAGTTTTCCAGTAGTCAGCTAAATAGCCCTCGGAAATGCACGAATTAATCCCCCTTCATCCTCCTTTTTCTTGCTTTTCGCTTCGATAACTTCATATTGAGATCAATATCACAAGAAGTGAAAGCTTTAGGCCGAATAGGAAACACTGAGGGACGTGTCGGGACAGTAAGACGTTTATGGTAGGCGTAATCATGGAATCACCTATTACAATGAAGATTACCTTGCAAAGAGAATTGCAACTACACCTTTCAGGTTTTCAACTAAATAATGAGTATATTTCAGCAAAATATAATTACCCACTTTTCACAAAAAAGACATATTTATACAACCAAAAATGGACCCTGAAGTACGGTTATCCTCTGAGATAAACGTTCAAAGTACTACGAATAATAAGCAGTTACTAAGTTGCCAATCTAATAGTATATTAAAAGTAGTAGTATTTTCCAGAATGCCCTTCTTATACTTAACAAATATAGCAATACTTTGGATTGCTGTTTAATAACACATGCATATAAGAAAGAGCTGACACTTCCTAGTTCTAACAAAAACCAGCTCTCCAGCAGGAACCAACCTCTATGTGCATCCTGCTGATCCACTTCTGCTCCCCAGCCACTTGCAGCCATTTTTAAAATCAGACTTCCAAAAGGAAGATACGAAGGAAGCAGCACAGAAAATATAAAAGAAGTGTACCATTAATGATAACAAATAATTAATTTGCGCGGTAAACAGCCATAAAAAAGTATTGCATTAAAGCGACCAATGTAACCGATGAAAAAACTGTTTGATTAAAAAATTGGTTTTGAAGGCAACCATCTATGAAGATTGCTTCGATGCAACGCAAAAGCCAAATCAAAAACTGCTATCTAAAAGAATAAAAATAAACTATCCCAAATTCTCCAATCAGCGATGAAATCAGAATGGATATATTAAGTGTATCTTCACGAAAAGTCAAGAAAGTGAATGCAACGGGTATTTGATGACCTTTTAATTGAATACTGAATATGGAGATCAGCGGTATGACCCAATTTAGGAGGGGGTAGTATTGT